TTAATGCTGGTTTTGTGCCAATGTGCTGATGTTTAATGCCGGTTTTGTGCCAATGTGAGCTGATGTTGTGCCAATGTTGGCTGGTTTTGTGCCAATGTTGTTAGGTTTAATGCTGGTTTTGTGCCAATGTTGTTAGGTTTAATGCTGGTTTTGTGCCAATGTTGGTTGATTTTGTGCCAATGTTGGCTGGTTTTGTGCCAATGTTGTTAGGTATAATGCTGGTTTTGTGCCAATGTTGGTTGATTTTGTGCCAATGTTGGTTGGTTTAATGTACAGATTAAACTCAGTGATTATAAATGCTAGTTTGCTAAAATTTTCTGTTCTTGTTCAGGCTTCTGGTTTGCTCAAATCATTATGATCAAATGCTGGTTTTTATGTGTACATTTCAACATAAACTTGCCTGAACAACAGCTATTTTAAAAAATTGAACTCCATGACATTTCATCACTAATATTGACAAAAGAAACTGTATTAAACAAAGGAAAAAATGGAGACAACACAGGAAATGAAACCAAGAGTATAGGAAATAACATAAACTTCATTACTAACATATTCATAATCACCAAGATTACAGTAGATCACTGCATATCAATAAATCCATAACTTACACAACCTACATAGGATAACATTAATTTATCCAGGACATTCCTCACTAATTCGGCTAACTTACATAACCTACATAAGATAACATTAATTTTCGAAACCATCTTCTCATCAACTACGCAGTTGGATTGCCTTCGCTAATCTCTTCCCTTTTGTTTCTCATTCGCATCCACATCTCCTTTTCCCTTGCGGAACGTAATGTTGATGGAAATCTCAACGTCCGATTGTTCGGTAATTCGAGTACAAGTTTTGAACAAACCCGATAGATCTTCAGTTTGACGCTCAGGGTTATGAATATCTGAACAATCACACCTTGATTCCCGTACATTTTTTACACCACTAGACTGGCCCTCATCTTGTAATGGTACACGTTTGTTGGGCGCAACATTACTCCACTTGAAAAAGCCGCAATTTCTAGTGCAACAAAAGAATAACCGACCAATGTTTGCGGTCTTTTCTACTTCCATCCATTTCATAAAACCATCGGCACAATCTGGACATCTTTGCTTTGTTGGGCATGTCCACAATTGGTGCCCTGGTTGTCTGCAACTGTGGCAAATGCCCTTATTCTTGCCTAACACACAAAAAAGATTGGTTAGAAGCAAACATAAAAGAATAAACCGTGCCAAATGCTCTTCAAATGCTTCCTGGTTATAACAAATAAAAAGAATCTGGGAAAGAGACAATCTGCACAAATACATATTAACTGGTCAAATTCATCCTTGAGTGGAGATGTGTTTATTTTCTGAAATGCAGATGAAATCAATAATATTTTCTGCCATTCTTTCTTCGTGCAGTATGAACTTTGTAAATAGAGGTAGAAGCTCCCTATCAGTATAATCTTACCATTTACGGCATTTTAATATAGCAGCACAAATAATGGCCATTGGGTCGTCAATATTCTTGAACATGTCACTGTTATTCCAACAACTTCCTCCAGCAGAGGAAGATGAAATTAATGTTTCACAGAGATGGGAAAATTTCTGAAATTACCTCCATTTGTTCTCTCCATGTCAACGGCTTCAAGAATCACCCTTACTGGGCCTTCAGATTTCGATTCAATTTTGTTTTTTGGGCTAGGGTTCATACAATTTGGGAGTTTCTTCGAGGACAGATTTGGGAATAGGGTTTCTTCAAGTGTGCTGGTTTGTTCACGCTTTCTCTCATTACAATAGAAGATATGTGTAGTAGGATTAATGACATGTCAGCAACGTAGAAGGGGTTTAACGGCCAAGTGTAAAAACCGTCCTCCACGTAGGCAAATGTGATAGACGGAATTAAGACGGTGAGTGACGGAGTGCAATTTAAATAAGTTCAGTTAGTGATGGAGTGCAACTTAAAGTTCAGTTAGTGAAACGTGACATTTTGTAAAGTTCGATGACTGTTGAAACAATTAACTCTCCAATCATCAGAGCAACTGCCCAGAAACGAAAATGCAAAAATCTATCGTCGCCATCAAAGAAATGGAAATATCCTCGTCAAAATCGAAGAATTTCCTGCTAACAAACAATATATAACGATTTAATCCACACCCATTTTTCCTAATCAATCACTTTGGACGACGAACCCAAAGCTCTCCATTTTCCAGTTGTAATATTCACGCAAGAAAACATTATTTTCCCATGGAAAACTACGATGCGATTACGATCGTTCTGGATGATTTGGTTGTCATCAAATATTCGAAATTCTATATATATGGGTCATATTTTCCTTTAACCTCTTTTTTCTTTCAAAATAGCATTTGTCAGTGGCGTTGGGTTCTCTATGTTTTATATTTGAGAGGATTTTCTCTTTTCCTTCCATGGAAGATCATGGGCTTCATTTATCATCATCCTCTAAGGTAATATGTTCACGTAATATAAACTCCAACCTGCATTTTTGTTGCTCTGTATCTCATGTTCTATTTAGATAGCAGTAAGAGCATGTATGGCTAAGCTCAAAAAGAAGTTACTTAAGCTTCTCTCTAATTGAGAAAAGTAGTAGTTTAATCAAGTTAAATTGGGATCATTTTGAAATAAAGTAGCGTTAAATTAACTATATTATGGGGTGCAGAAAATTGACTACTTGGGAACATATGGAATATAGGAAACACTTCTGTTTTCAAATTTTTAACTGGTGATGATGGTGAAGGTGAAATGGCTGTTTTATGAAATTAAATTAGTATGCGTTACTTTAGTATTGTGCAAATAGTTTTTATTTATTATTTATTTATTTAAATAAGCTTATTCGGACACCAGTATACGATGTTTTACTATTGTTTTCTATTATGTTGGCATATGAACATCTGAGAGTGTATAGAGTTACAGAAAGTTGTAGCCTTTAACTGAGTATTTGCTGTGGTTCTACAGTCTTGTTTAGCCATCCCACCATTTGCACAATGCCTTCAATTGTTTAATAATTTTATAGTTAATTCAATAGTAAATTGAAGTTTTTTGCACGTCAATTGCTATATGAGACTATGGATTGCTGAAATTGTTCTGTAACTAACAATTCCGGTATGCAAATTCAGCAGAACTGAAAGGGTATTAGTGTAGTCCTAA